TTACACACAGAAATGATTTCTCTGGAGTCATAGCATGCTTTGGAACTCTTAGGAAATAAGCAAAAGCTCCCTACAAATAATTTATAAAATGGGATTAATTTTTCATGAATGCTAAATTTCATGATTAACGAAGCAGGCATGTCCAGGGACTCACGGAAACTAGGCATTTGCTAATTTTGATTCCGAAGTTCTCATGACTTAGTTAGAACTTGCATATTTTTTTTCAGATCTTGATGCTCTTTCATTTCTTTTTTCTTTTTTGGTCATCCTGGAAAGCCCATAGGCACTTCTCCATAGCTTCCCAGGGATTAAATGTTCTCTTGGCTTCTGGACTAGTTTGATCTTATCAAAGCCATTACAAGGAGCAACACTGCCAGGTACTGCCACAAAGAAGACTTCTGTCTAACTCCTGGTCTCACATTCAGAGTGGGGGGAGCTCTTTGCTTACAGATAAGGCTAAAAGTGGAGAACAGAAGGATGGCATTTGGAGACAGTGGCTGACTGACCCCTCTCCCTCCCCCGTAGGCAAACCACTGGGAGGGATAAGTTCACTTATGCTGAAGTTTAAATAGTACTTACTTAATATGTGCTGGTAATCAGTACCTACTACGTGCCTACTATAAAATGATAGAAAGAGGAAGTAGACAGGCTCTCTGCTAGTCCTCAGCACAGTCCAAGGGGGTTGAATATAACAGTAAGCACATGTCGGGTAAGTGGTAAGGTTTATCTACATCTCCACTAATTCCACGTGAATTTCTACCAAACCACATTTCTTCATGCACTGGGGCAAACCTTTCCTGAGCTTTCCCTCTGGGTACCCACCATCTCCAGGTATCACAGGTACCTGGATTCCACAGGTCCAAACTGGCCACCCCTCACTGAAGCTCTCTGAGCTGCTGCCAGGGAGCCGAGTGACCAACTCATGAAGTAAAAGGCTACCTCTAGTGTCCCCTCTTGAGACAATATCATTCCACTTCTCAAATTCTGCCCCTTTGCTGACCCTGCCTCTGCTGCTCTGGATAGCCCTGAGGTCTTGTGTAGTGTCTTTTCTGCTTGCCCTCACTCCAACATCAGCCTCCCTCCCCACTATGTACAACCCATGGCCTCCTGTGATACTATTTACTCCAGGTAGGAATCTGAAGGCAAAGACAAATACCTATGGCTGACACTGAGCAAGAAACAGAAACTTGGAACAGACTGGTGAGCACATAATGGTCTGTGAAGGAAAATAAGGCTAGAGGCCTCACAGGTGAGTTCTCTCACAGCTTTCAAAAAAAGATGGCATCCATTTTCACAGCTCATCCAGTAACAGACTAGAGAGTGCACTTCCGAACTCAATAGAAGGCCAGTGTCACCCTGATACCAACACTGAATGAGTTTTACAGAAAAAAGAAAGCTACAGACCAAGTATCTTATGGATACAGACATAAACAGCCTCGGCAGAATACCAGCAAAGTCAAATCCAGCAGCATAAAAAGAGAACTGCATATTATGACCAAGTGTGATTTATCCCAGAAATGTAAGAAACACAAGACACATGGGAAGAGAGCTGCACAGTGTGACTCCGGGGGGAAGGTGACATGTAGACCAGACTTCAGAATGCCCCCATCATCCAGAAACGATGGACATCCTCAGTTTGGGACTTGTGGGGTATGATGGGCTGGAGGAGAGACCTGAGAATCATGGCTTACCCTCTTCTGTGGGCTTATCCTAAGTGTTGGGACTGTGATGTTCAAAGATCAACTCACAGCTGCTCAGAGCTGCAAGAGATTTTAGATACAGGAAGCCCCAGCTTCTCTTTTGTAAACAGAAGAGGGACACTGAGGACCAGGGAGGCAGTATGAGCTGCTAATGGTTACAGGGCTAAGTAGTAGGAACCCAGCGTTTACATACACCAGTCATGTCCTCTCTTGTACAGATGCTCGAAAGGCTATAATCATGCCAGATCTCGCCATTCATGAACTTCGGAGAGGAAATGGTGTGAGTGAATTCTTACATGGTAGTTGCCTTGTTTCAGGCAAGATTTAAATGCTGTCCTTTCGGGTATGGCCCTCATGCCTCACTGGACAACGACAGGGGGACCGGAGCCATTACAAGATCCCCTTCAAATACTGGAGGTCAGGCCTCTATCCCCGCCTTCGCAAGTTTAGAAGTGCCACAGCCCTTCTATACTTAGAGAAGGGAGGAGATGTCAGGGGCAGCCCTGCTTACACACTGAAGGCCTAAAATCAGCCATAGGCCTAAAATCAGCAATAGGCCTGTCATACATGTATACTAACACCAAGTCTTGGGTCTCAGTGGAAAAACATTGAAACAGATGGCTATAAGCTAATGTCAACGGGCAGCTTTTGTGGAAATTTATAAGCCTGAGTGGTCATGGACCTTGTAAATAGGTAGCCTTGGCAGACAATACCAACTTAGATAAGGACAAGCGAGTCATAGGCAGAGTCACAGTGACTTGTTCCCTGAACCTTCACCCAGCCGATACCCAGTTCTGAAGATATCTGTATTCCCCCTGAACACCCACACTCCAGTGTCATTCCCTTCCCCATGTCCTGCCTTTCTTTGTTTATACCCCATGTGAATTAATTATGATTTGAGAAAAAAATTAAAAAAAAATGCTGTCCTTTGTCCCACTTCATCTTCAGAGAGGCCCTACCAGATGACAACATTACTGTTCCCGCTTTATGGATGAAAGCATGGTTCAGGAAACAGCTATGAAACTCCTCGAGCTCACTTATCTGGTAAATGGTAGCACTCTTGTCTCTGCAGTTGGCTTTCCCTCCTCCCACTGCCTTGTTCCTCTTCAAGGCATCTAAAGGCCTTGACGCTCTACTCTTGGATCTACCTAAAGGTTACAGTGGAATGGCAAGCATCCTGGACTCCCAGAGCCCGCTGGTGGCCAACTCTACAGCACCCCCATGTGGAAGAGATGCTTCTGTATCGTTCCTATGACAGACTGAAGTGCTTTGGCTCAGGGATTGACTGCAAGGTTCTGTGCTATTAAGGTTTGCCTGTAAAATGCCCCCTTAAAGGTCCATGGTGTGCAACTGGTGCACGGTCAGTAGAGGGAACTGGTGCACGGTCAGTAGAGGGAGGCTCTGGAACCCTTGGGAGCATAAAGTATGTCACTTGGGTGTTGTACAAAGAGGGTATCTTTTTCCTACCTGTTCTCATTCATCACCCCCACCTGCTGCTTTCTGTTCTCCAGGACATGAAGAACACGTGCTCTGCAGTTACACATGCTTCTGACAACACTACATCCCAACACACACTTCTGTCACCATCATGTCCTGCCCAAGCACAGGGGGCTAAGCAACAGTCATCAGAGCCATCATCACGAGCCTAAGTTACTCTCTCTCCCTGTAAATCGTTTGGTCAATGCAATATGAAAGCACGAAGCCCATGTCCCATTATAGACCCCAGAGGGGCTTACAGTACCTTCAAGATGGCTCCTGTGTAGATTTTAAATCTAGAGACTGAGGCTGGTGCTAAGGAGTCTCACGGAGACTCAGGCAAGACCACTGGTGTCCGTTGGACACTGCCATCTGGTGAAGGTTCCCAATGCTGTCGTCATGGACTTGCTACCATGTTGTGCTGACTGCTGACATTGAACGTGGGAGAATGAGCATTATAAACCTTCTATCTTTGAGTCTAGCCCTTAGCACATAGCAAGAACCTCGGGGAAGGCCTGAATGATGGGAGCGTGTGTGTATATCAGCATGTGTACCAGGCAGGGAAGCAATCGATAGACACTGGTGGAAATTCTGGTATATTCCCCTTAGAGTTAAAATAAAATCGAGTGATTAATTTTCCACTGTGGGTTTAGGATTAAATGAGATCATTAAATGCTTTGGACATCTGTTGCATAATAAATTCAACATCCTCTCTTTTGTGAGCACATATCTTACTCTCTCTGTTCAGGGTTTCAGGGCATGGGTGATGCTCACAGAGAAGAGTGGAAAGACTGGGTTATGTCTATATTGCTTTCAAAGGAGACCTATTAGCTAGCGAAGCAATATAACCAAGATGCCACAGCTAACAAACAATTAGCCCAAGTATCTTTCTGCAGGACGCTGGCCCCATGGGTGAGCAGGGAGTGGGAGGATTTCCCAGCTCAGGTCTTAGAGATAGTCGGCTGCCAACTTTACCTCACAGTTCTGTCTACTCATTAACAATTTCCCCAAGTCCACCCCAGGCCAGCTCTTCTGGGTGACACGGAACCTCCATGTAGGAGACTTGGCTGTACAAATGGCAAACAGCGGAGTGGGTAGAGACTTGAACTTCATGTCTTTAGGCACTGCCTTCCAAACACCTCAGAAAGTTCAGGTGCTGGGGGTCAGGGTCAACATGCTGTGGCTGCAAATGTTCACGGGAAGATGCTTCCTGCCTTCCCCCCCCCCCAACCTCCTGCTGGACAGTGGAGTGTGCAGACCGCTTGCATGCTCTGGTATGCAGGCAGTTTGGCTTACACTGTAAATAAAGGAGCCCTTGGCCAGAGGATTGCATATAGGGGCTGTTAGCTGGTCTAAGACTCAGGGGGGAGGTATGAAGAAGTGTGGTGCTGTCTACTGCCCACCTATAGTAGCAGGGCATGTTATTGTGACAACAGCACACACTGAGCAAGGGACAGCAAGGAAATGGAGACTATCAAACAGGTCCAGTCCTGGTGGGAAGGCAGTCCTGTCCTTTAACTGCTCCCTGACTTTGTGTGACATATGCTATTGAAACAAAGAGGTGTGTGTGTGTGTGTGTGTGTCTGTCTGTCTGTCTGTTTGTCTGAAGTAACAAGCCAGCCAGACTAGATGACATGTTCCCTCCCTGAATACTGTCTGACTTAGTTATTTCCCTTCCCCATGTCAGCATGTCAGTCACATGGATGATCCAGCTGTCCCTTCTACTAAAGCATTTTCCCAGGCATATATTATTGGGTTAGAGGGTATATCAGAAGGAGAGAGGGCATCACAGGGAACAGCAGCCCTGATGCAGACAGTACCTACCATGTCACTCTGCGACTGTGTGGCCCCATACATAGTGATCCCATTTGATGGTGCTGCTGGCTGTGGCGTGTCAGGCTGGATGTAGCCTCTTCTGTCAATTAGGCTGCAGGAGAACAAACAGAGGAAGAAAAGAATGAGAAAAAAACCTCAATGATAGCAACATGATTTAAACATCTAGGCCTGGGGTTCCTCTACGATGGTTATTCTCAGCCATCATTTTGATGGTGTCTAGAACCACCTGAGGGATGAGCCTCTGGGCTCTGTGGGGGATTAGGTTACCTAAGATGGGACAATCTTCCCACTGCAGGTGGTACCACTCCCTAGGCTAGGATCCTGGACTGTATAAAAAGGAGACCGTGAACTGAGCACAAGCACCTGTTGTTCTGTTTCTTGCAGATACAATGTAACTAGCTGTATCAGATACAATGTAACTAGCTGTATGGAGCTCCTTATGTCTGGACTTCCCTGTCATGAAGTTACCCTTGCACTGTAAGCCAGAATAAACCCTTCCCCCACTAAGTTGTTCTTGTTAGGTTGTGTTATCACAGAAGCAGGAAGAGAGATTTAAATAGGCTCTTTCTGTGCTAGACCCACCTTGGCATCTTGGACTACTCCATATGCATCCACTATGTGAAACCAGTTAACAAATTCTGTCACTTCGTCCTTTAGAGTACCACGATTCAAATGTGTGTGTGCTACACAAGTGCTCTAACACGGAACAATAGCCTCACCTGCCACTTCTACTTTTAAAGAGGCCTGTAGCACTGGTTGTTCCCTGTTTTTAGTCTCAATGTTTGTCACCTGCTACAGACCCCAGCAGCTTCCTCTTAGTTGCCTCCCACTACCACAACTGTTCCCAAATTTCCTCTCCAGCTTCAAGCCAATGTCATCTCATGCCAAGCCTGTGCCATCTTATCACACTAATTCAGATATATGTTCTGAGTGGTCGCACCAGTGCATTGTGGGAGACCAGAGCAAGCCACACCTGCGTGCACTCTCCTTTCCTCTCTGACTCTGTATTTCTTTGCAAACCATCTTTACCCAGGCACCATTCTCTCCCACTTCCCTGCTTGCTGACACTGGCTTGAAGGGGAACACTGAGGGCTGAATTGTGCCAGTCCCACAATCTGTAAATGGGACCCTATCTGTGACCTATGGCTACTTTGCAAAGGCAAGCATGAGAAGATGAGTTTCTAATCAATTGTGGTGGGTCTCAGCACACTGTGATTGGTGTCCTTAAGACAACAGATGCTCAGTTCACTTTTCCCTTTTTATATAGTCCAGGATCCTAGCCTAGGGAGTGGTACCACCCACAGTGGGAGGATTGCACCATTTTAGGTAACTTAATCCCCCACAGATGTGCCCAGAGGCTTATCTCCCAGGTGGTTCTAGAAACCATCATTACCCTGTGGAGAAGCAGACAAGAACACAGACGCTACAGACCAAGGATTGCTACCTCCAGAGGCTAGGAAGAGGAAGAGTGAGCTTCCTACTTAAGAGAGAGCATGGCTGAATTGTTGGTGCCTTCATTTCAGACTTCTAATCTCAGACTGTGAGAACTATATGTTACTTTAAGCCCTCCCCATTATGGCATTTTTGTTAGAGCACCCAGGAAGTGCTACACAGGTAGAAGAAGAGGACTTAGCTTCAGAGAATCCCTGAAGGGAGCCCCATGGCCTGAACAGGGTGCATGGCTATAGCTTAGGTCTGCAGTAACAGGTAAACCTGACCTCTTGGAAAGCAGCTCTGCCTGTATTGGGAAGCTGCAATGGAAGATTCTTAGATGAACACTGGACTATGGGGTATAAGCTGTAAGATGAAAGACCCCCACCCTCTATGCTCAAGTTCTTTCCAGTGTCGAATTCCAGTCTCCCCCTGGCTCTCTTTGAATCAAGCTGTAGAATTCTCAGCTCCTCCTGCACCATGCCTGCCTGGATGGTGCCATGCTTCCTGCCATGACAATAATGTCCTTTATAAGAGTAGCCTTGGTCATGGTATTTCTTCCCAGCAATAGAAATCCTAAATAAGACATTGCAGCACACTTTATAACACATGAGAGGCAACTCAAGCCAAGTCTGAAGTGGACAGCACTGCTTAGCAGGCTGATGGGATAAGAAGGTCCTGCTATACATGGGCAGAGCAGAGGGAAGGAAAGGCAAGAAAGGCCAGGAGGAAGAGCAGAGATGACATCTCCTTCATCAGCATGAGGACAACCCTGGGGAACCACTAACACAAAGAAAGGAGCCCAGGCCTTTCCCTGTGGACTCATGAGAGTCTGTCTGTTAGTTTGATTCAGTGGTGGGGGTGGGGTGCATAGGGAGCTGGAGATCACTTCAGCCAGCATCTTGGGCCACCATGAGTAAAATAAAACACACATCAGTGTACCAACTTCAGAAACTGTAGTTAATCTGTAACCAGAGACTTCCCACTCAAATGACCCCAAATAGAGCGGCAGTCCCTGTCACCAATCTAGAACATCCATTGCCTTCTCTCTCCTCAGCCTATGCATGGTTCCTTTCCCCTTCTGTGGACTCCCAGGCTGTTTCTAGACTGGAGCTGTCTAATGCGAGACTCACGACCTGCCCCTGTCAACACTTCAGTTAGCAGATCTCAGTTCACCTTTCAGCAAGCAGGTCTATGGGAGGGCCACTTTTGAGAACTGTTCCTTCCAAAAGATTTGACCCTTAAAGACCATGATCCCAATCTAGCTGAAATATGGTTTTAGTTGCAGTTACTATTGCTCTGCTAGAACACCATGACCAAAGAAACTTGGGAAGGAACAGATTTATTTGGCTTTTGCTTCCACATCACTGTTCATCACTGAAGAAAGTCAGGACAGGAACTCAAACAGGTCAGGAACCTGGAGGCAGGAGCTGATGCAGAGGCCATGGAAGGGTTCTTGCTCAGCCTGCTTTCTTATACAATCCAGGACCATAAGCCCTCCCCCAATCACTAACTTTAAAAAACGCCTGGCAGGCTTGTCTGTACCCAGATCTTATGGAGGTCATTTTTTTCAATTGGGGCTCCCTCCTCTCTGACGACTCTATCTTGTGTCAAGCTGACATAAAACTCTTCAGTACAACTGACTGCTTGTCAGCTTGACATATAAATGTATCAGTTTTCAGTTAGAACCTTTTTACGCACACTGATTCCCACATTCATATCATAAGATCAAACCAAGTAACTTTAAAAGTCCCACAGTCCTTACAAATTCAAACATATTAAAACCTCAGCCTCTTTAAAAATATCTAATTTCTTAAAAAATTCGAACTCTCTTTTAAAAGTTCAAAGTCTTTCAGCTGTGGGCTCCTGTCAAGATAAAAGAGTAAATGAGATAGCTTCTCAGTTCAAGAGGAAAGAACCAGGGCACAGTCACAATCTGAGCAGAATCAAACCAAACTCCAATCGTGTTAATACTCAATGTCCAGTGTCTGGGAGTCACTCATGATTTCCTGGGGTCCTACAAAGGGCGTGGGACACTTCTCCAGCTCTGCCCTCTGTAGCACACACAGATTGTCTTCTAGGCTCTGACTGGCTCCACTCCACTGATGCTGCTGTTCTTGGGGGTCATGGTACTGGCGTCTCCAAACTGCTGGGGTCTTCTACTGCAACCGAGCTGCACTTTCACCAATTGCTTCTCCTGGGCTCTCTTCATTGTGTCAACCCTCAACTTTTCTGCATGACCTCTTCAGTCCTGGGTCTTCAACTGCCACTGAGGCTGCACCTTCACCAACAGTCTCTCCTGGCCTCTTGCAGTGCTAGCCTCAGCTGTGTTCAGTGACTCCTCCATGCCTTTAAAACCAGTGCCACCTGGGTGACTCTTACTTTGGAGGCCAGTGGTTGAGGTACAACCTTGTCTCCTTCTGGAATATGATTCTGTGTGCAGATTCTCGGGAAACACTTTCCAGAAGATTTCACCTCAGAGATGTTGGTCTTTTCTTAATCGCTGCTAATTTCTCAGCCCCAGCTGACCATCACTGAGTATCCGGCAAAGCAAAGGTTTCACTTCAGTAGCCCTGGTGTCTTGCTTTGTTTTTTTTTGTTGTTGTTGTTTTTTAGATTTATTTATTTATATGAGTACACTATAGCTGTCTTCAGACACACCAGAATAGGGCATCAGATCCCACTACAGATGGTTGTAAGCCACCATGTGGTTGCTGGGAATTGAACTCAGGACCTTTTGAAGAGTAGTCAATGCTCTTAACCGCTGAGACATCTCTCCAGGCCTCTGGTATCTGGTTAATCACAGCTGAATCTTCGTCCCCAGTTAACCAGAACCACAGGATCTTAATTCAAAATTAATGAATGGCCCTGGTTGAATCTTTAAACTTTCCTCTGAGATTTGACAAGCCATGCCTCTGTCTTCTATGCGGCCCTCAGCATTCTTACCATCCAAGCTCCCACAGAACAGCTCACCAAGCACTGAACACTCAATGGCTTTTCTTGTATAAAATCCCAAATTCCTTCCATAATCCTCCCCAAAACAACATGGTCAGGTCTGTCATGGCAATTGGCATGGCACCCTCTTGTCTTAGTCAGGGTTACTACTGGTGAAATGAAACACCATGACCAAAGAAACTTGGAGAGAAAAGGGTTTATGCCATATCACACTGTTCATCACCAAAGGAAGTCAGGACAGTAACTCAAACAGAGCAGGAACCTGGAGGCAGGAGCTGATGCAGAGGCCATGGAGGGATGCTTCCTACTAGATTGCTCAACACCACTAACTCAACAGCTTTCCCATAGAACCCAGGAGCTCCATCCTAGGAATGGTACCGCCCACGATGGGCTGGGGCCTCCTCTGTCAATCACAAATTAAGAACATGCTCCATAGGCTTGCCCATAGCCAGACCTTATGGAGACATTTTCTCAGGTGGGCTCCCTCCGCTCAGATGAGTCTAGCTTGTGTCAAGCTGGCACAAAGCTAAGTCAGCTGAGCTGTAAGGGAGCCATTTAGGTCGTGACAAGTTTTGCTCTGTGAATACACAAGCAGGGCCACATTCAAATCCAGGATTCAGGAATAGGAAGAAATGTGGATGGAATACAGGGATTTTCAGGGTTTTGTTGTTGTTGTTGTTGTTGTGTTTTGTCTTTTCTTTCCTGGACTCAAGTGTGTATTCTGGTTAAGGGAAGAATGGTTTGGGTCTTTACTCTTCTCCTCCTCCAAGGCCTTTCCATAGTCTACCCTAGGACTCTGTAACACACTCAGAGAAGACAATCTAAGATGGTGGGAAATTCATAGCTTTCCAAGAGATTACCTGACCTAAGGATCCCCAAAAAGGAGGCCTGGGGGGAGGGGGCTGTGGGGGTGGGGTCTGGAGCTCTTCATGAAGAGCTGGTACCCACCCGACAGGGATGGCCCTCATCTCCAAGGCAATCCCTTTCTCTGGGCTTTGCTTGCTCCCATCTGTCTGTACCCTAAGAGGAGCCCCTAAAGAGTAGACAGGGTTCCCCACAGACCCCCAGTTCAAGAGGAGAAATCCATACTGCACCCCTAGCATTCCTGGATGAAGCTGAGAGAGAATCTAGTTCTAGTTATCCAGTGAGTGGTCCCGCTGTGGTGTGAGCAACAGCAGCCTGGCTCTGTGGTTGGATGGCCTTGGACACACACACACACACACACACAGATACACACAGAGAGGGGGGGTGCAGTTACTGCCAAGAGCAATACCATCTTCAGTGCCATCCCTACATCACCTACTCTGCCTTGGCTGGATCTTCCTTGGGACTATGTAAGCATCACAGCCTGCACCTCAGCCTTTAGTGTCTATCCCTATATGGTTTTCAGTTGTTTCCTGCACACAGCTCTGCCCCCCTTACTATGCTAATCACAGACCTCAGTTCATCCCAGGAGTTCAGTGTCTGTCAGTAATGAGCAGAGTCACGTGCCTCTGTTTTTCTATTCTAAAATAGACAAAACTTTTTTCTAGTGGGACACAAATTCAGCTCAAGACCAAAAAGTAGTGAAGCATTACCAAACGAAGCCAGGCTTCTATCCCATTGAGAGTGTCTAAGTGTCACACTGAAGAGAGTGGAACTGGGTGGGGGGGTCATATGTGGGTGTGGTCAGCTCCACCAGGTGGGGACCAGGCATCCGCCTCTGAGCTGTGTTACGGCAGACAAGGGAGCTGCTCTCTTGAGATCTGGGACCAGTGTACTGCTCTCTGTCTCTTACCTGGGAGAGATGGGCCCACACAGGGCGACACAGCAATTTGTGAAGATGTTCCCATAGCTGTAGGGATTGTAATTTTCTTTACCTCTTTTATTAGACCACGAGCCTTTGATCTGGAAGAAAAAGAGCATCAATAACACAATGCCTGGAGGAGCAATGTCAAAGTTTTGGCTAACTGAACCCAGAGATGCCTCCGAAAGATACAACTAAGGGCAGGAGAACATCTGCCAACCTCATGCCAGGCTCTGATTTCATGGCTCTACAACAGTACTTACTGAGAGAAACTGAGGTACTTTTCTGAGAAAAACCAGCATTTATAGGAAAAGTTAGAAACAGTCTCAAACAGGAGCTTAGATTAGGGAGAGAATGACATTCCCTGAAGATAAAAATTCTCATTGAAGACTATACCATGTCACCAGAAGTTCCTCTAATGGAAAATGAAAACTCTGTCTTTCATATTCAAGGCTTGCACCCTAAGTCTTGTTTATTATTGTGTCGAGTAGGTGTGGGGTGCACACAATGACCATGTAAGGGTATGAGCCTTGCATATGGAAGTCTGAAAAAGATGCCTGGTGTCCTCTACCACTCTCCAGAGACATCGTTGCCCTACACAGTGTCTCTTATGGAACCTGAAACTTGTGGCTTCAGCTGGCAGGCCAGCGAGCTTGCAGGTTCTGCCTGTCTCTGCCCTACCTCTCCCACTTCCCTTGCCAAGGCTGAGGTTACAGGCTGTGTAGCTATGTCCAGATTTTACAGTGGGTACTGGGGAGTCAAATTCAGGCCCTCATGAATCCGGAGCAAGGGTTCCTATTCAGCCCTAAGTTGTAATTAAGCGAACGCTAACCCAAACACCATTAGCAAGGGTCCCTGAACGGCCAATTTAGACTGAGAGCTCAGCCTCTTGTTAAAATTTTCTGTTTTGCAGATTTCAATATTCACAGTTACCAAATCGAATGTGCTGTTCTGGCAGTTTTTTAAAAAATCTCTCTATCATCATTTATTTTCCTTAGCTTTTGTTTCCAGGAACTGGATCTGTTCTGAGGCATTTAACATGCATAGAAAAAAAATCTCAGTATGAAGATCAAGTGAGAACTACACTTGCTGTGAAATCATTTCCAACATTATGCTTTCTGGGTTTTTTTCCCCTCCCCTCTACCTGCATAACGCATAAGCAGATACTCCTGGACTCAGAGTTCAACTTCACGTTAGGGTAATTTCCTCCAGAAACCAGAGAGCTATTAAGGAAGAAAGTTAGATTCCAAGATGTCAGGCTGCCATGGTCTATCTTTGGTTGGGGAAGTGTTACTAGCTGCCTCCAAAATTATTTAAGAGGATTTGAAGAGGCTTCTCTAGGTCGGAACTGGGCATCTCTTGGCTCACCTTAGGATGGCTCTCTGACATCATGGCAAGATACAGGAAGATGGAGGGATGCCCTGTACATACATGTAGGACCCCAGCGGGATGTACACTGCCTTCTCTGTCCCCCTAGGTTCTCACAGCCAGGGTGAGATGTGTGGAGAAGGTGACCCCTGATCTCTTCCACCCTCTTCCCCCTCCAAGGCTAACCACACAAATACCCACAGGTTACCATCAGGAACTTACATCTTCGTTTGTGGTCTGATTGGAGCTGATCAGGTACGTGTGGAAACCTGAGAGGCCAATGATGGACCAGACAGAGAAGAAGCATATTACAGCCTCTAGCACAGTGGGTGAGTCAAGGAGACCAACAGAAGAATTGCAGAGCTTCTCACGGTTTCCAGAGAGGCTGACTGTCAGCAGGTGAAGGGCTGAAACCCCACAGGTGGGTTCTGGGCTCATCCTAGCCTCTGATCCTTCCTTGATCCCCAACCAGACACCCTCCTCCTTCAGTCCAGGGCCACACTCACACTTTCTGCTGCCTCCTTCCCCAGTGCAGAGGGACATTCACAATTCTGCTAGGCTCCCTGGGCATCACTTAGTTCTTCGGATGGACCATCTCCCCTCTGGCCCAGTTTCCCCTTTGACAGTCATCTTCTCTGACTTGTAATGCAACCAAGGATGGATGGAATCTAGCAGTGTCTCAGAGCCTTGACGAAAGGATTAAATACTAAATATCCCTTTGAGTTTAGCTTCTGAATGCTGGGGACTGTCTCACCAACAAGCTTCTCCCTCCCATGGGGTAGCTTCTGTGGACTGTCTGATGACAGCTTATAAGGTGAGTGAGAAACATCGATGCCTACGAACTGGAGAGTGACTCTAAGTGTGGAATCAGGTTGGGGTGTTCCTGCCTAGAGACCTCTAGTAGTAAGAATTTTGGAGTTTTGGCTTCTTTAAAAAACACAGACATATAAGAACATGTTTTTATTTTAATCTCAGGTGTGAGATATTGGGCTACTTCAGATTGTTCACAGCAGCTGACTATGATTTGCCTCGTGCTCTAGCAAGGGTGTGATTTTGCCAGCTGCAGATAGTTTTTGCAATTGGGTGATGTTTGGAATTCTGGGAGACTTTTCAGAGGGTATATGAATGCTGGAGCATTTAGTAGTGGGCTGTTGTTGGGTTTTTGCTTGTTGTTGGTTGCAGTTTGTTAAGTAGTCGTGTGCAAAGAAGAAACAAGGAGAAATTAGATATCCTGACAGCAAAGATCAAACTTGCCCCAAGGAACTCAATGCCCCTAATCAGCAGGAAGTAGTTTAACAATAACATCCCCCACTTTCCTAGCCTTAATTTTATTTAGAGTTCTCTTTCCTTCACTTTGTATCCTTTTTTTTTCTCTCTTAGCTAGTGTTGTGGAGAAGAGTGAAAGAGAGAATTCATAAAGTAGCAAAAGACCGGACACCCCTGCCCAGCCCCACAGCCAAACACTGCCACAGGACACCGTGCTTAGGGATAGTGAGAGGAAGCCAGGCATTCAACGTGATGTGCCACTACCACCAAGGAACAGTGTGGCCTTCACCAGATGGCATTGATCAACCAAGAATGTGGTAATTTGAAAGGATGAGAGAAATTTTCTGTCCTGCAAATGTTTATAAGAGTCTATTTACAAGACACAGATGTTTCTCAGGAACAAACGTTTCATCCTGGGGCAGATCTGGGGTTTAAATATACATCTTGCATTCTCTCCTAGCAGTGAGTTACAGACTGGGGAAGTAAAGAAGAACATGTCCTTTCCTAGTGCAACCAAGGATGGAGGAACATAGAATGGACTGTGTGTGTTATCATCACAGGCTGGAAATAATTCTTCCTAGATGACAGAACTGAATACATTACCCAGTATTTCAGTGATTCTGTGGGTATGGATACCTGTATGCCTTTGTAAGTCAAAGTCCAACCTTGAGATCCATTCTGTGCCACCACCTTTAAAAAAGTTATTTCTTGAGACAGGGTCTCTCACTGACCTGAAGCTTAATAAGCACGTTCGGCTGGCGTCCAGAAAGCCTTAGGAATCTGTCTTTACTCTCACAGTACTGGGACTATAAGCATACACTACTATGCCCATCTTTAATTCATGGGCTCTGATCTCAGGGGCTCATGCTTGTAAGGCAAGCACTTTGCCAACTGAGCTAGCTCCCCAGCCTGGAAAAACAGAATTTTATATGAACGATTTCTAAGCCTTGGTAGCATTTCCTCACTGGTTAGTAGGATGTAGTGATACTTTGAGTGTTTAGCTTTCACAAAATGACATGATGCCCAGGAACAAAGCGAGGCTCTTTGCCGTCCCACCCAGATGATAATTCTGTCTAAGAAAGACTATGTGTCTTGAGGAACGGGCAGGCTCTTCTGTAACGATGTCCACCATTGCTGGAGGCATGTCAGCACTGTTCTAAAGACTTCACAAGAGCTGACTTGCTCAACCCTGAGAGCCCATTCATAAATACCACTTCCACTTAACAATTGGGGACACCAAGGTGGGAAGCTTTAGAAACCACTGAGCTGGAGTTGTCTCTTAGGTGGTAAGTGCTTACCTTGCATGCACGTTACCCTGCATCCGATCTTTGGCACTGCAGAAAACCAGGCATGCTGCTACACGCCTTTGACACCCTAGTACATCCAGAGGTGGATGCAGAGGATCAGAATTCAAGGTAATCCTTGGCTATGGTGTGACTTTGAGGCAGCCTTGACTACATGAGACCCTAGCAACAACATAAACCAGAACTGGGTGTTGAACACCAGAAATCTACACAGCCAGCACAAGAGGACTCTTCAGCTCCTTCTTTTCCCATTTCTTGCTGGAGGCAGCGGTCCTAGGTCCTAGGCTGACCTCATCCTGGTTCAAGGGACAGAGGGACCCTTCTTATAAGACTTGACATCTGTGGAAACTGGATGAAGCTCTCTCCTTGTATCTGCTCTCAGATTCAGGTATAGATGTTCCAACAACGTATTTCACTGGCCCCAGTGGCTTGTCCTGTAACCAGGATCGGGGAGTGCTTGTTTCTTAAAAGTTGCAAAACCCTTCTGCTCATTTTTAAAAACAGAAATGAGAAAAAACAAATTCCACTGAGAGTCAGTCAATTCAGTAAGAAGTTGGATGTTTGTTGACTGACTCAGGGACAGCTTTGGATGACAATCATTTCTACTGCCAGACTTTCTGCATCTCTTTCAGCATCTGTCTGATAAGACAGACAGCTCCCTTTTGGCCAGGGGCTAGCTATGAATTCCCTTAAACTCGTAAGAGTTTGCGCTAAGGGCAGAATATTCAAAGTCTCGGGAAAGTGCTGGCCTGTAAGAAGGTTCCAGAACCTTCCCTGTGAACCCAAAGAGCAGGCTGGGCAAGCACTGGCTCAATGCTCTAGGGAACAGGCTCTGCTTGCAGAGGGTATAGAGGGAGAAGGAGAAAAATAGTGCAGAGACTTGGGGGAGATCCAGGCAAAATGGCTAAGGATGCTTCAGGCTGGGGAGACTCATAGACACTGGAGACCACTGAACAACGTCTTCAGCATCTTGGGGTTCTTGTCCTTTTCTTAGAGAGATGCACACAAAAAAAATTTCATATAATCTCAGAAATAAAAAAACAAAAAACAAAAATCTTCCCTGAAGTACCTTCCTCCCACAGAGACCCAGAGGCCTCGAGTCACACTAATCAGGCTCTTCCCAATCTCTCTATTTCACACAGGAACCTGAAGCCCAGGATCAGGTCCCCTTTAAAGCCTCACATAGCTAATGACAGCAGAAATGAACCAAACCCTGTTCTTGGATGTCTAGGACACACATGCCCCTTTTTAAGACCCCAGGCGGTGGCAGTACTGTGTGGTAGCCACAGCTTTGTAGGTTCAGTGCTCATGATACTAAGGCCAAGATGGAGATAATTCTTTTTTGGCTAAGTGTGAAATGTGTGTTGGTGGGTTTCCTTAGTAACAAGGATCTCTGGATGGCCAGGGAGGGACCACATTAGGGGGCTCTACACGGGTCCTCTTCTTTCTGCCATTTCCAAGATGTGTTGGGCCATGTCTAGGTGGGGCTTCAGGTATGAACTCAGTAGTCCTCATTAGAAAGAACTCAACACAGGGAGGTTTGCTGTCTAAAACATAAACAGTGTTGGTGGCTTGCCGCTGTATCTGCTTGGCAGCCTATACTGAAGCAGGTATACCTTTCAGGAATGACTCCTTCATAATCGGGGTACTGTGGAGGTCTCCTTCAGATGGATGGCTCTACCTAGAGGTAGAAAAACACAACTGTGCTGTCTCCTGGCTACCTACCCATAATGGTGGCAGTTTTTATGAATGAACAGGAAAGCGGCTCTTTCACAGGTTCATCTACCCACAATCCTTCTCTCAAACCTTCTTCTCCTGTGTGTGAAGGTTCCAGATTCACAGTGGGAGTCACCAGGATCCCAACCAGAGCTTTTAAGAAGCAGAGGCTGACAAATGGGCTTCAGAGGCCATTTGGTGACAAGTTGTACAAGAACAGTGGGAAACTGAGCAAGAACCGCCATCGTGTGAGGGCACAGAGAGACACTGTTAGTCAGCAGAGGAAGGGTCAGCACTGGGACATAGTGCGAGCCCAGACATGGCTCAACAGCACAGGATAGGGCAGAATTCAGAGTCAGGAGAATGGACGTGTGATTCCGAAGCAGGTGACCATGGACCAACAACATGCATTTGGGAAGCCATCGGGTAAAAACCATATTCCTGTCAATTTCCCTACTGGCCACAGGTTCTACCCTCCCCACTCCTTGTCTATGGGTGCTGCCTGCAAGTGCTGGGATTATAGGTGTGTGCCACTGCACTGGGCTCTACAGTCTTACCTTTGGAACAGGACGTAAGGGAAGGAATGTAAATATCCACCCAAAGAACACACTGCCTATGCACAGAGTTTTAGAAGGTGGTTCAAAAAGAACGAGGTAGATTTACCTCTACGTAATATTTTAAGACAAAATCAAATTGCGGGACGATGCAAAGAGTAGGGAGAGTCCTTATAAGGCACCAGCCATCCCTTAGCTACTCCATACAGGTGTAACGAAAGAGTGTGCAAGCATGAATTCCGACTTCCCAAAGACCTTGTGGAAGGACGTACAAAGACTGACAAGGAGTCTTCACAATGAAGGGTCAGGGAAACCCGTCCTTTCTTTCTATTGTAGCTCTTCTGGGATTATTATAGAACTTTCAGCCTCAATCAACTGCCTATCCACACGGTTATCTTATGCAGTGTAATTGGAGGCTTACACTTCAGGCCTTCCTTCCTCTCATTGGTTGGGGGTGGTGGGAAGGCACTGGCCTCTTTTTCTGAGTGGAGCAGGGCTGGTGTGGGGAGAATGTGGCTCTTGCTGAGGTGGTGTTAGGCACATCACTGGATTTTTCTGGACAGGTACAGCTATATATGACACTAAGGGTGTCTGTCCTGATTTTCTTTTTTTTAAAAAAGATTTATTTATTTATTATATTTATATGAATACATCGTTGCTGTCTTCAGACACAGCAGAAGAGGACATCAGATCCCATTAAAGATGGTTGTGAGCCACCATGTGGTTGCTGGGAATTGAACTCAGGACCTCTGGAAGAGCAGTCAGTGCTCTTAACCACTGAGCCATCTCTCCAGCCCCTGTCCTGATTTTCTTGTAGTCTTTGGCCATCAACATCTACCAGCATGGGCAGGTCAGCAAAGGCCAGTGCTTCATTATTTTTGCACTATGCCACATGGTGTCCTTTCCACCAGCCTTCTAGTAAATTCCATTAAAAGGGACCAGTGCCTATTACTCTGTGGAGGCCTCTCAGGCGGGCAAGCATTGAAATAAGTGCAAATTGGAGATAAAAAGGCTTTCTAGGGGAAAGCCTTTGCAAATGCCGAATCAATTACCACTTGATTTACCAACCACAGGAAAGCCTTCTCATTTGGGGAGCTCCGAACAATAAGTCATGATTACAAATGACTGTAATCCCTTTAATGAGCTGTTAATGCCACGCTACATTGACATGATGGTGCATGGCAGGGTTTCCTCTCAGGGGGATTCTTCAAGGATGCCCAGGGTACCCTGTTCTCCCCTGCATATGCTCCCAAGGGTTTCTGCCCTTGGGAACATGAGGAGATTGGGAGGAAGTGTCCACCACATGGCTCCCTAGCATGTCTGGCCAGTGGCCTTTTCCTGTGGGGTGTGGCTTCCATATGTTTCTCTCCTTCTGTTAGACAGGTGGGTAACTAAAGGGGATCCCCTAAAGTTACTGTGAGGTAATAAATATTGTGTGTGTGTGTGTGTGTGTGTGTGTGTGTGTGTGAGAGAGAGAGAGAGAGAGAGAGAGATCAATTTCTGAAGTTTTCTTGATAAATGTATCTCAGAACTTACCATTTATCTTCAATCTATTTGATGTTAGTATCTCCCTTGTCTCCTGTGACCCTTTGTCACCAAGGCACCCCACCCTGTACGGCCTCCTGTTATGTCTTGAAGGTCCAATGTCCCCAATACCTCAGTTTCTAGCTAGTGGCACATTTTGGGGGAGGTTACAGAATTTTTGGTAACCTGGGGCTTAAAAGGCAGGGGTAGGCCAGTATGTGCATGTGTGTGTGTGTATGTGTGTGTGTGTATGTGTGTGTGTGTATGTGTGTGTGTGTGAGAGAGAAAGAGAGAGAGAGAGTGTCTCAGCTTCTGGTCCTGGTTTTGCTTTCTGTTCTTCAAAGATGAGAAGAACCTTGACCACAGACTCCTGTCTCAGTGAGCTCGACCATGAGGGACTACAGCCATGAGCTAAAGTGTTCCCCACCCTCACTCTTCACCTCCCACACCCCCTTCCTTAGGCCATGGCTCTCCCCACATTGCTTTTCCCACCAAACAGCCCCTTGCCCCACCTAAGCACAGTCTATGATGTTACACACCCAGCCCTGCTGATGTTCACAGAGGGAGAAGGACGCAGGCGTGTGTTGGCTTGTCACCACAGACCAGGCCCTTCCAAACTGAATGTATTTCAAAGGCCAGGGTCCTTTGTCTTCAACCTTGTGACCCTCAGGTGTGGCTCAGTAAGGTAGAACTTCAGCAAAGGAATTTTACAGGACAAGCTGGCCTGTAGCTCTCCTCTGTTTGAACCCAAAGGGCTGGGTATGCTAAAGGCCTGGTCCTGTGTGTTTAGATTCTCCCTTATCTGAGAGGGAGGAGGCAGCTCTCATAAAAGTACGCTAGGAGCAGCCACCTCATTGGCTACTGACCAGAGGCTCTCTCTCCCTTGCAGTCTCTACTTCTTTAATGTCAAGATCAAAGGGAGGCTCTGAAGTGGTGGAAGGAAGAGATGGGAAAGACAAAGGAGGACCTATCTGTGATGCTGCCTAGGGTGTGGCCTGCTGAGTCCCTTCCATTCAAGGCTGTCTGTGACTCTCTCTCTCCCTCCTTGTCCACTCTTAGTGGGACACATTGGTCCGATACACCGTTGAGGCTGGTGGGTGGTTCTTTTCTCCTAAGGTCCTGCCTGTCATTGGCCAACATTGCCATCACTTATGTTAACATTTCTGGTGAGATGGTGTGGTTAGCTATGAGGTACGTGTGCCTCCTTCCTCCCTCACTTCCTCCGTGACATTGGTTTTTAGTTGGGTATTTTTCAGAATAAATCTGCTATGAGAAACCTCTGCCTGGGCTTTTATTTCTCATCAAAGTATGGTCAGGAGACCAGATTTGAAGTCACCAGAAGTCTGAGAAGACAAGTTATCTCCTTCTCCTGGAGTACCTGCCAGGATCCACGAGGCTCAGCCCAGCACTCAGCTCAGACCTTCCCCCGGAAGCTTTATGGTGCCCTGCTCTGAAGCCTGACGGTCTAGAGGGGATGATCTGGAGGCAGCACTACCATCAGTCAAGGGGCAGCTCTGGAAGCATGCAGCATTATAAGTCGGACTCACCCACCACACAGCAGGGTCATGGCATTAGGAAGGTTGAGAACCGCTGTCATAAGACATGATTGTTTCTCGGAAAGACACAGGCAAAGCTTCACTTTAAGACCCTTTGAAGCAATAGCCTCTGACTCGGGAGGTTACATGGCTGTGGAGAGCTGATCGCCCTCTGGGTGCTGCGTGAAGGAACAAGGGATGCCATTCCGGATTGAACCTGTTCTTAGCAGCTCTGATGAACACTTGATTCCACGAACTATCTATCCTTTCTCCTTGCTAACCTGTAACTAGCTCCAGTTTTTTGGATCATTCACAGGAGATAGGACAAGTGGAATTTATTTTTCAATTCCCCCTGCCGGTTATCAATATTCCCCAGTCTCCTTCCACCGTACAGACACCATTAACAAGTGATCAGCTGACTGCTCAAGATACACAGGTAACCGTCCTCCTGTGCAGTCCATAGTGCTCTGTGGGGCCAGACAGAGATGATGTGTATTATGCAAATACCCACTCCCTTACACACACACACACACACACACGTTCATTCCATATCCCGGGGCCCAGCAGCAAGGATGGCTTTACTTTTAAAAATTGTGTTTACATACCTCTGAAAATCACTCATGAGATTAATGAACAGTTCAAATGCAGTCTGCCCCATTATGTGACAGAGAAAGAGAGCCAAGTCCTGAGAAGCTAGGTCAGCAGGCCCTTCTGTCTGATTCCACAGCAAATCAGCATAAGCCTAGGCCCACTCAGCAGAAGCCCACACAGCACTTAACACACAGGCATTTTTTTTTCTTTTAAGATTCAAAATACCAGGGTGCACAAATATATGCACTGTTTGGGACGGTAGGAAATGGTCTCCATTTATCTAAATGACTTAACCTTTCAGGTTTGTGAAAGAGAGTTCTGTCTAGGGACAATAGAGATCACTGCACTTGTAGAGGAACATTGTAAGTATCCCAGAGTCTCCCAAGTAGCCCAGGACCCTCACCTGCTGCCCCAAGCCCCAAACAGACTCATACCTGGGCATCCATGAAGGTGAGAAGCACCCGCTAACCACAGTGACATCAGGCAGGCTCACAACTCTACTTCAGCCTAACCTGACAGAGCCCAAATCTCAGCTGGCTTCTGGGGCGGGAGGGGCAGATAAAACTCCATACACAGCCTTCTAGCTAAGGAGCTCTTAAGCTTATACAGGGCTGCATGAGTCACCCGGTACTGTTCAGATGCCATTCCTCTACAAGTGAATATTCCATGAGGCTCCCGATGCCTTTGCGGGATGATTGAGAGTGTGATTTATGAGAGGAAAAGCCAAAGCCAGAGAACTAAAGAGGTAAGAATAAATAAAGAATGCAGGGGCCTGCGAAATACTGATTCCACAAGCAAAGTCCCACTGAGCCACCGGAAAGGATATCTCGCTGGACTGTCCTTAAGGGCATCGAGGAATCCCTTTTGCTGTGAACCTGTGGGAATGAAGCCAACATTTACTATTCAGATATTCACCCCCCACCCCCATGCGCAGTGCTCTTATCTACAGAAGAAGAGTGTCCCACAGCCCACTAAACAATCTTTGTATTTGGTAAACCTTAGGACAGACACCCAGTTTACTGATCAGAGAACATGATTTCAAGAAGATGGCAGATTCAGAATTAGAATCAACATCTGCAGGACATTATTTTTTTTTTCAATGAAAGCAGATGCGTATCTGTATATTTTCCCATAAATTATATCTTTGATTACTCTTGTGTTCTCCTCATTTTAACAGGAAAACAAATCCTACACAGTTTCTTCTGTTTTGCCCACATTTGTTAACTTTTGGCCGTAGAGGTCTTAGGAATTTAGCTATCAGTGACAGTCTTTCTGGATAGTTATTCCTACCCAGAATAAACAGAGATAAAGTTCATTTACTGACTCCTTTTGGGTGATAGTGTTGTCCTTGTTCTGCAAGGACACATTGGGGAGTTTGAATTAAGCTGCATCTGATGAGAAGAGGGATTGTACCTTGTGTTTGATATAATGACATCCCACGTTAAACAAATCTTAAAGATTTGTTTTTAGTGTGTATGTGTGTGTGTGCACACGCGCGCCTGTGCTCAGGCAGATACTTGACAACATGTGACCAGGTATGAGTGTGAAAGCTTGTGAGTTGTGAGGTCTATGAGTGTGTGTGAGTGTGTGATGAGCTGTACAAGTTTGTATATATGTTTTATATATATATATACAAAAAAAAGTAGCCTGAAAGCTCTGGATGGAAGCTCAGAGACCTCATAGTATGAAATGGAGACATTCTGAACCTCCCTGAGGGAGGTGAGACTATAAGTCATGCCTATTTCAACCATGTGGAGATTCATCGTGTGGCACAGAGTTTGGGCCCTGGTTAATCTTGGCATATGAAGTTTTTATTTATTTGCAAGTTTTTTCATAAGAAAGTTTATAAAATTTATAAAAGAATGTAAGGCAAAAAAAAATACTATTTCTGAGGATCGTGTGTGCAGAGTATTGATACTTACTCTGCCCATGTAAACAACTGCTTTCTTCCAAACAACATCTAACACCCCTGGCTTTTTCTCTGCTGCTTTTGTGCATGAATCCACAGACCAGCTCTGCTTTTGCCATTTTTTTTTTGATTCAAAAAGCCCCAAGAAAGGGACATCTCTGCAAAGCCACCTTGGCACCAGCGCCAGCTGGCATGGAAGAAGACGTTGATGAGTACTAAGCTTCTCCCACAAACCCACTGACTTAGATTCTCAGGCTTGTTTTCCAGGTTTGTGTCCTGTCTGGAAAAGAGACTCATATCAGAAATGCCTGGAGATCAGAAGAACTGTGAGTCCTCTGGGTAGCGGATGGCTACACTTGACTGCTGCTTCGAGACCAGTGGGAACCATTTGGAACTCCTCACCCAAACAGAAGGAGTAGGAATCGGGGTCTGTAGAGCCTGAGTCTGCTCCATTCATAAGATCCACGCCAGCAGAGGAAGACAATAAAGCCACCCTGTTTAGATACTTCCAGAAACACACCAGAGCGAGGCTGTGTGCTTGCTCATGGGTTCTTATGCTCCGGGAATGGCTGGGAGGCTGAGCTGCTCAATAAAGTGGACAGTGACATGCTAATGGAAGTTTAAAGGTCTAGATTTGTAGCTCAATACCAATTAACTTCCTTCTCACCGTCCCCGGTTGTAGGAAAGGGAATGACTTGGGAGACAAAGCAGCTCAGAATGAACTTCACAATGGTGAATGAAAAAAAATGTTGAATTCTTATGCAAATACATTGAAATCACTTACCCTGAAATCTAACTTTTTTTTAAAAAATTAGAGTCATATTCTTTATATGTCAGAGACTGTTCATACTCTGGCAGGAAACCGAGTATCTCATTGAATGTGCATTTTAAACGTATATAATGTGTGTAGGAGAAAACCCAGTATCTGTCCCTTGCCTTATTCTTCCTCTAGGGATGTATATTTGTAAATCACGGGTCAGTTGATACCATGCCATATTCTTTCTCTAGGGTTGTATATTTTTAAACCAGGGGCCATTTAGGAGCAGATTTAGCTATTCGATGGTTATCATTTTGTTTGCAGTTCCTTGTGCAAAACAGAGGGCTGGACCTTTCAGGGGATCCCCAGCAGACATCACTGAGGTTAGAGAGGGCAGGCATGTCAATGTGATGCCTTGTTAGTGTAAGGGGAACCTGGTCCAGGTATCTATCACCTGGAAACTGCCAATGGAGGGATGGGGTTTAGGAAAGAGGGAGGGACATAGAGGGATGGAGAAAGCAAAGCCTAGAGGGAGCAGGCTGGAAGGGAGGAGGAGACAGGGGGTTGGGAAGAGGGAGAGAGAAAGCCAGAATGATTAGAAATAGTAACTCAGAAAAGCCAAGGTCAGGCAAATGATTACATACGTCACCTGTTCCGCCAGGCATACTTACGATGAATGACGTGTGTGATAACGAATGCAAATATGAAGACCGTCAGAAAGGACAGGGATAAAATAAACAGATAAAAAAATCTGTAGTTTCTTTTCCCCACACAGTTGCCCACCCAGGGACAGTGGTGATCAAACTGTTCTGAAATGAGAGGCAGAGAAAAGAAGAATGGATAATTAATAATTAATAATAAGGTTTAATTAATAAGGTATCTGTTTACTCGGGGGAGCCCCTCCCTCCCTCCCAAGATACTCCAATAATATAACCAAACAGTATCGGATGATGCATTTCCGAATGGACGACTGAGAGAGGTCCTTGTTAACACTGAGACATTTCAGGAGTATAATCATGCTTTCAACAGAACACAGGTGTTTTGAAACACCAGATGTGAATTCCTCTCAAATGGTTACTGAGAGAAACATTGAAAAACATTGAGAAACAGTGGTACACATTCTCTTGCTCAGAAGTAAAGACTCGATTCTTCCTCAAAAGGAACCTTTGTGTTCACAGAACAATCTTCCCTTAAATGGTGTCAACCCCATCTGATGACAAAGGCTGGGCAGGGCTGGGGCTCGCTATGTCATTGGGTGACCCCAGTACAGTAAGTGGTCACAGAAACAGTCATAATGGGCCCAGGGCAGGACAGAGGGATAATCCTTTGTTCTAGCACTCCAGTTATAGTCACTTAACACAAACTAGTTACATACATGAATACATTCCCAACAGAAAATGATATCACTATCTATCTTAGAGACAAGCAAAGCCAGGCACGGAGAGATGGGAGAACTGTGTGCAGAGGCAGTCAGCTGAGCATCAGAGCAATTAGCCCTGAGGCTAGCCCTTTGGAGATGCTTCATCTAGCGTATATACTGCCTGTGGCCCTCCCTAATGGCAGCGAGCTATGTTTGGGCACTGCATGCCATTACTCCACTGTGCCCAAGTGTAAGCCCATGGCTTCTCATTTTGGGGGAATTCACTCAAAGTCTTCAAAGCATTTACGGTCTGTCCTTCCCCTTACGAGCAATGGCAAAGTGCTTCCTCTTACTATCCAGCTGATCTCCCATGCAGACCGACTGTTCTGCACAATCCTGACAACCCACTCACTTCAGACCACCTGTCGTGAGCTGGGGGAAGTTCAGCATTCAACTTAGCTCTCTGTATGAGGGTTCTTTCCTCCCGCTCTCTGCCTACCTAATTTCCATATTTTATCTCTCTGTATGGGCTTCAGAAAACATGGAGGGAATGTGCTGCTTGGGTGTGACTTTATAAATAAAATATGACAGAAGTGGGCAAGGTGGTCAGTTTCATGTGACACTAGTCATGGACTGGAACCCCTACATGCCATTTGTTGAAAAGGCAGGAGGTCACCTGGGTAAGGGTAGTGGCCTAGGAAATGGAGGGGACACTGGACTGCAAACAGCATGAACAAGAAGAGGGGACAGCAGGACAAATTTCCAAGCTCAGTGGCCTGGTGACAGAGCCGATGGCCCGTAAGATGCAGACGCTTAAGGAAAATGATTGCTATGGTGTGTCCCTGGGATTTTCACATTAACAAACACTGTAGGCTAGCACCTTCATAAAGACTGCCTCACTGTGACTAGGGAGGGTGAGCTACACAGGCAGAGCGCGCAGAATCTTTAGGGCCATGAAAACCTGGGTACTAATAGATTATGCCATTGGATATTTGTTCAAGACCATGGGCCCTCTAATCTCTAATGCAAGCCACAGACTCTGACAGTATGTCAACAGAGAGCTGTCAGCCCTAACAAACGTGATGAGAAGCTGTGTGCATAGGGAGTGGTGGGTAGATGAGAAACTGTACCTTCCGTTCCATTTTTTTTCCCTGTGAGTCTAAAAACAAAGTGTTCGAAAAAATGGAACAAGCAAACATCATTTCCTCCGAGTCATCAGTCCACCGCCTATACAGCGGCAGGTCCACATGATGAAGAATGAAAAGACAGGGAAATATCTGGACCAGCCAGATTTCCCCCAAGACTATAAGGCTATGATTTCAAGCAACTACTTTTGTGCTTGACAGCTGAGTGTAGAAAATGGGAGGGGAAAAGAAGCCAGGAGCTGATAAACACATGTTGGGCCAGAATCTGCCTTCATTAGTGCATCTGGCTCTGCAATTCCTGCATGGAGACAGAGCTTCTGGAAGGCAGAGAAAACGGCTCTCAGCAAAAGCCACATTCAAGCAAGGTGCAGAGGAGCTGTTAGCATCTAGAAAACTCCAGAGGACAAGGTTTTACTCTGTGTGGCCCATTTCCACAGGGCAGGCCTTTTAATTTTAGTTCAGAAATCTTTAAATCTAGCCAGACAATGCTGCTAAGATCTCTTGACAGCAGGATAGAGAGCCAAGGACGACCCAGTGAGTTTTGTGGTCTCCTGGAGGCCTCTTCGAAGCTAGCACTTTCAGGGTTGGGCTTGGTGCCTGGTACTCCCAAAGCCTGGCCTGGAAGCCATTTCCCTTAGAACTGTGTCTTGTTGAAACTCTCTTGGTGGACAAAGTCCTACTAAAACTGCAGGCCCACAGAGGCATTCTCCATGGACTGTTTCTCATGTCTTCTGCAGATGCAGTGTTCATAGTGGCTACTGGGTCTGAGGTTCCCAGGCCCCTCTGTGGATGTAGAAATTAGGTATCATGGTCCCAAGAAGGGGCCTGGAACTTGCCATGCCTCTCTGTCCCAACACTGAGCTTACAGCGTCTCTCCTTTTTCCCCCTGCACTACCCATGAGCTAGGGAGGCTTGCCAAGCTCCCTTCTCTTCACTATGGACTCTGAGCATGGGTAAATCTTTCATCTGAAGGCTCAAGAGCCAACTGTATGTTGATGATGCCAAAATGGCCACCTCTTACCTTCAGGGATAGATGCTTGCTAGATCTGGCTAGCATCTCAGATATGCCTTCTCCAATTAGACTTCCTGTTGTTCTTTCCCAACTATGAGCCTCTCTCGACTACTATCCAGCCAGCTACCCAACTCAGAAACTGACTCTACTGCTGACCTCGCCCTTCCCTCTCTGCCTACTCCAATCAATGAGCAAGTCCTGTGGGCTCTGCCCCACTTCCATTGGAAGCCACGTTGGGTTTTATGTGCTCTCATCTGCCAAAATACTGACTAGGCTCTTACCTAACAGATATTTACCAAGAGACTGAACATATCTATATATCACCAGGCCCTCCATAGGTGATATGGTTAGAAGCCCAAGGACATTCTATAAAACAATGAGTTAGCTGGCTGGGGCCATCCTGACCACACACCCGCTAGCTTTCTGCTACTTCTTTCTCATCCTGCCCTCATAACACCCCCCCCATCCCATGATTCCCAAGGACAGAATGGGGTCTTTCTAATCATCTTTATAATCCCGCACTCAGAGACTTGTACTATTTATGCATTATTTACGGAAACAAATGGATTCCAGGGCCTGTAGCGGGTTTAGGAATGAGGCCGTGCCTGGTGGGCAGTTGATGGCCTTGAACAAGAGTGGTTGGAGGAAGGATGCCGGGAGAGAGCCAAACATAAGGAAATATAAGGGGCCTTGGCTTACGGCAATGCTCAGAGAGGTCAGGGGACTGGGTAATGCACTGGGCAAGCAGGTGACCAGCTGGAATTGTGGGTAAACTCCTTTGACTGTGGGATGCAGGGTGGCTCCATTTAAAAGCTCCTTCATCTGGAGGATGCAGGGGTATCAATCACATCACCTGCCTCAGCTCCCAAGCAAGGAAAGAACGCCATCCGAAGAGACACCATTCAAGAAAAGGAAGGAGGGTCCTACGTTACAGCCTTAATTTATGAATGATTAAAGGAAGCTTGCAGATACATAGTTCCAGCTTAGAAGCATGACTTCTTGTTATGAATGACAGACCTCTGCCACCTCTCATGTTCTCTGTGACTCGGCCCAGGAAGCTTCAAGAAAGGCAAACAGTCTGGACACCAAGCGTGGCCCAACGGGATCTGAGACTTGGTACTGAGACACTTAATCTCCTCTCTAATTAAAAGGCGACCTGGGAGGGTATGAGGGAGACCTTAGAAATAGCGGGGTACTAGTAAAGCCGGACAGGAACTGGAAAGTCTCTGGATCAAGGAATAAAAAGTGCTTTTGAAAGTTGTGTTTGAAGGAAGCCAGAGAAAAGAATGAATTTTTTTAAAAATGGCTATCCGGGTGGTGCTGGTGCATTCCGTTAATCCCAGCACTCAGGAGGCTCAGGCAGGCAGATTTCTGTGAGTTTGAGGGCAGCCTAGTCTACAGAGTAAGTTCCAGGACAGCCATGGCTACATGGAGGAGCTTGGTCTCAAAAACAACAAAACAAAACAAAACAAAACAAAACAAAACAAAACAAAACAGCAAAGCAAAACCATGTCAGGCCTCAAAGTGGAATTGAGTACTGTCCTGATGTGGCCTGTGGTCCACATGGGTGCTCTGGAGCGGGAAGTCAGTCTTTCTTTTTTCCTTTCCACTCCTTTTCTCCTTTCTCTCCTTCTCTGTATCCCTTCTTCCCTTCCTTCTTTGAGACCAGGTCTCATTATGCAGCTCTGGCTGTCTTGGAACTCACTCTGTACTCCAGACTGGCCTTGAACTCACAGAGACCCATCTGCCTCCGCCTCCCAGAGTGCTGGGATTAAAGATGCTCCAATCACGCCCAGGGAGAATCCTAGTTCTCCGAGCGACAGGCCCACGCAGTCTTAGTTCCCTAGAGTGTCTTGATGAGTCTGTGAGCCAAGAGAGACAAACCGCAGCGGAGGTTTGAAGCTTCTAATCTCAACATTAATTACATCCAAATCAAGTTAGAGGTTTTAAAGATTCCAAGTGGAAAACTGCTCTTCTTTAAACTTTGGGCTTTTTTTTTTTTTTTTAACTTCCAAAATCAGAAAAATTTTCCCTTTGTGAGGTACTTTGTTTTTGTGTTCTAGGACAAATACTGAGATCCAGTGACACGCATCATTACCTGGCCTTAGAGGTTACACAGTCATCCTATAGGGACGGTTGACAATTTACCTCAGCGAGAGATTCCAGGACTGAGTCTTCATCACTAAAGGATTTCTATCTCCATCCAGATCTAAGCTGCTAACAGTCACCTCCTGCACTCAGGGCTGGCAAGGCACCCTGCATGATCACTTTGGCACTCAGGGCTGGGAAGGC